AACCTTTGATTTTTTGCCATGAGGAGGTGCAGCGGTCTAGCGATAGTGGGGAAATCCGTCACAAATCGACGGTAGTAGGACGCGAACCCGGCAAACCGTCGTACCTCCCCCACCGAGGTGGGGGTCGGACAGTCCTGGACGCACAACGTCTTGTCCGGGTCCGTGGCAACACCGTTCGAGCTGACATGTCCCAAATAACGCACGGAGCGTTGCAAGAGGTGGCACTTTTTAGGTTTGAATTTGAGATTTGCAGAACGCATCATGTCGAAAACAGCCCTCAATCTCTGAAAGTGTTCCTCGAACGTACGACTGAACAAAATGACGTTGTCTAAGTATATCAGACACGTGTCCCATTGTAACCCAGTCAACACCAGTTCCATCAACAACTGGAACGTAGCGGGAACAGCGTTCAGTCCCATGGGAAGACAGTTAAATTGGAATAACCCCTGAGGCCTACGGAACGCCGTCTTTTCCTTTGACGAATCGTCGAGGGGAAGTTGCCAAAACCCAGAGGAGAGATCGAGGGTGGAAAAGTATTGTGCTCGCGACAAGGCATCGAGGGAGTCATCCATCCGTGGCAGAGGGTACGCATCTGCCACCGAAACCTTATTAAGCTTCCGGAAATCAACGCAGAAGCGGAGGCTACCATTCTTTTTCTTTACGAGGACAATGGGAATGCCCCACGGGCTATTCAACGGAGAGATAATGTCAGCGGCCAGCATGTCATCCACCGCGCCACGTACATGGTCCCTCTCCTAGGGACTTAGTTGGTGCGGATTCATCCGTATAGAGCTCGCCCCCCCCCCAGTATCAATTTGTTGAGACAACAGTGAAGTGCGCCCCAAGTCGAAATCGTTCTTGCTGAAAACGTCGAAGTAATCGGACAACAGCGCCCGAAGCACGCTTCGTTTATGCGTGGTCAAGGACGAATTTTCCTGATACAACTCGGCGATCCAAACGATCGTCGGACGTCCCACGAGGCTCAATCGCTGCCGCAGACCATAAACGCAGTAGTGGCATGAGCCAGGACCATGCCAGCCGCAACCAAAACAGCCTTCCGACCCCCTGTTCAAAACTTGCAAAAACGGGGGTTTACCCGGCTGGATGATCATCTGGGCCCCAACCAGCGCAAGACCCTTGGTAGCGGTGTTAGATGGGGACAGCAGCACGCCCGTTGTCACGTCCATCCCGCGGAATTGTTTACAGTAACGCAATGGGATGAGCATTTTGGCGCCCGGAGGAATTTCCACCAAGATATCGGCAAGCGCCTGCACTAGAACGTCCGGCGCAGGATGACTCAACGGGGACGGCAAGAAAAAAATCTTACGCCCCACAGGCAGCTCAATGCAGCCCTGATCAACGAGGATCTTAACCGGCATTTGACAGAGAAAATCGGTACCCAACAAACAAGGCACTGCCAATGACCTGGAAATCAAAACCGTTCCCGATGCCACAACATTCCCGATAGAAACATGCGCTTCGACCTGACCCACAATGCCAATACTATCCCCGTTGGCAGCAATACACATATCGAAAGCCGGCCGCACGCACAAAAGGAGGTGGAATATGACATCGGAGATGATAGTGGCCAACGCACCCGTGTCCACCAATATCTGCACGTCCACCCCTTGAATAGAGCCCGGCACCATAGAGGACCCCGTCACGGCCACTACCACATGGCGTGCCAACTTTCTCCATTGAGTAACCGTACGAGGCGAACCGCCTGTGGCCCTATGTGAGCCCCGGACATATGAATCATGCCCGATCAAAGATGCATGAGGTGACAAAGCTTGCCGGGTATCTGATGCATACCAACTTGCCTGGCTTTGGTCACAGCTCAACGACGTGGCAGCTACAGAGGTGGGGATCTGGGAAGAAGCGGATGGCAGGGACATCTCCGACAGTCCCGTGCAAAGTGGCCTGGGCCAGCCACACCAAAAGCACGCCATGCCGGCTCGCCAGTCGGCCCCACCGACGTCCCGGAGCGGCGCCGACGAAGCACCCGAACGCGCCTCGGTCCCCCTCCTCGGAACCCAGTGGCCCGCATCGGCCACCAGGTCGCCGGTCCCCATGTCGTCCGGAGTGCGGACAACCCGTGATGGTACCCATCCCATAGGGTGAACGTCCACAGCTGGGTCCCCTGTCCAGGTGGCTATTTGCTCACAGTGGCGCAAGTTGAACTGGGCGTCGAGACATTTGGCGGCCAACCGGGAAGTAAGTGGCTCATGGCCACACACCGGCATCGGAATGCCGAGTTCCTTGGATAGCTCCAACATCTTGCCCAGGTTGAGGGGGTCGAGCATGTCAGGCTTAGCTTCAGGGTAGGCAGCCTTCACTAGTGCCACCAGGGCGCCACGGTAGGCAATGGGAGATTCATCCGCACGACGCTGACGCTGCACAAGCTTCTCAGCGGGAATCGAGTGGAATACCGCGAGCGATGTCATCGAGGAGCATAGGCAAGGCCTCCAACACCTCTTCCTCCGTCCATTGGACGGAGCGAAAAGCAGACTTGAAGCGCCAAGTGAAAGCGCTCCAGTCCCCTCCCACTCTGAATTATTTTATGTTCGGAAGACGATGGTTGCGCCCCGCGCCGCTGTCCCCACCGGGCCCAGCATCCCGCGCCCGCGTTCCACACTGCGCCTCTAAAATGGTGGGCTCCTGCATCGTCTTGCCGCATGGCCACAATGGCAGACAGCCTTCCCAAGGCCACTTTGGCGGCCGATGCTTGAATGAGGGGACCCTCCGAGATCACCCGAGGGGGGCCCTGCTCGTCACCACTCGGAAGCGTTCCATGCGGACGTCCTGGCGCTGCGGACGGCACGACCAGCGTCATCAGGTTGAGCAGGACGGCACGCAGTGAGTCAATCTGTTCCGCCACATGCCAGGTCTCCGGGGATGAAGACGGCCTGGCACTGACCACCATCTCCGGCACCTTAGCAGAGCCGACCATAGTCGCCGCGTCCGGGCCCCCCTCTCCCAGGATCGCCAAGTCCTGGGTGAGTGAGTCGTCGTCGGAAGACGGCGTAGGTGAAATTTTTTCTTGAGATGCTTGGACTTGTCGTCCACGTCAAGAATCACTTCTGACCCCAATTGTGATAAAGCAGGTCGACGACAAGCGAGGTGTCTCCGTATGCTTATTTCTTCGTTATCTGGACGCTCGTGTTCTGCTCTCTCAGTCGTTCCACGGCGTGTCGCGTGAGCTGGCGTCCGGCTCTCGCGCCACCCTCTCGCTCTCACTTCTCCGCTCCCGCACACCGCTGGCAAACGGCGTGCTGGGAGCCGTTTCCTCATCGCCATGTGGCCAATGGCTCGTGGAGACCTGCGACGTGGCCCAGCTTCCAGCTCTCACCAACTGACCCTGAGCCCATTCCGGCTCTCCCTTATATCCCCTTCCCGCATCACCCAGACTTCGCCCTTCACCACACCCCTTAAGAACTTTCCAGATAATACCACCCCCTAGCGTCCGCGGGCTCCGCCCTTGAACCCTGCCCCAGATGGTTCGTGTCGCCTGGTTGGCTTAGGGACTAGGGCGGCGAAGCCCCAGCATACGCTCGCATTACACTTGTATTTGTTTTGTGGCGGCCTTTGAAGCCTGGTAGAGATTTCCCAAGAATATCATTATCAAACTTGTGCACCGGGGTTTTTTAAATGACCTTTTATGGATACTTCTTCGCCTGGTGTGGCTTGTGAGAGGCAGCTGCTGTTTGAGGGGTGGGGTTTGCATCACCCCCTTTGTGCCCCAAGCTACACTCCGATCGTATATTACAACAAAATTGGCGGAATTTATCTTAATATAATTTTTGGTAAATGGGGCATATATACAAGACGCTCCCGATGGAGTATGTGAGAAGGAGAGATCTTGAGTTAAAGCTTTCGTGACTGCAGGAATTTATATTCTTTGGGTCTTTCGGTAAATTAACGTAAATAAGTTCAAAGAAAATAACAAAAACTAACAAAAAACTATGACGTTTCGATTGCAACACAAGCGGTCGTCATCTGATGTCATCTGATGACGACCGTCGTAGTTTATTTTTATTATCTTTGAACTTATCTATGTGACTTTAATGAAGGACCCAAAGAATATAAAGAGATGGCGAGTGAAAAAAGACAATGGAGTGAAATGCTTCACACGAAAATGGCAAGAAAAAAGAATGAGGAAGAGTAAGGCACGTCATGTACCACACGTCGTGTTCATATATAAGTCAACATTTATGTTTATATATATTTGGACGTATTGGCAGTAGACCCATTGCAGCATAATGCACCGGTCCTCATAAAACAGTCCTGACGTTGTTTTTATTGTCAGAGCGTGTTTGTTTGAATGTCCTTAACAAGTACGTGTGCGTAATGCAGACTTGATTCCTTGCAAAATGTATAATCAATCTGGTGTTTCAACAGATTAACATCTATTTTATTGCCATGAAGGATAAAACCTATTCTGATTTGTCATAGTCCTGACGATGTCGCTGTTACCCCTTGAGTGAGCTGCAGGACTCTCCATCAGAAGTTGCACTCAGATTCAGCAGCCGCGTCCCCCATTCGAGCGTGCGGTGGTGACACGAGTCGTAATCTTTTAATGCCACCGTTCGCCAAATAAATTATTCCGAAAATTAATCTAGGGACCGGCTGACCAAGTCTCTAAGGGCACAAGTAGTCCGGTCTTGCCTTTTTGGAGCACGGAGCAGTCGATTGTCATCAGGCTCGGCGCTGCTATATGGCAACAGACTGCAGAGCTTCGTGTTCAGCCCCGCTCACTTAACGTTCTGTCTTCCCACCACTTTGGCATCGCAAAAACCGATTTTGACACACCACCACGACCGGCAGTTTGCGAATCGCGGGAAAAGAAATAATAATTGCGCAAAAACGTGATTATATTATATACCGTGCACCGCCAGCGTACAGCCAATACATTCATGTAAACAGAAATGATTGTTACACGTACTCAAGCCCTTGCTCATGACATTGGAATGACATGGAATTGCAGATTTGAAAATACTTACAGGTTCTATCCATGACCACATCAGATCCTTGGGAGCAATAAAGATTTCTCGTCTCCACATATGCATAGTAGTTTGTGTCAGGAATCAGATTGGTGAATGTGATGCTACCCGTAGACAGCACATACGAGGACTGGTTTATGTTGTTATTGTCTTTCAAGCGAGCATTGTATGACAAACTGGAGGAAGGAACCTCCCACGAGAAGCTCATGCTTGTCATGGTCTTGCCAGTGATGGTCACATTGACTTTGGGTGGCACTGAGAAACATCATTAGAAAGTGGATTAGTAATATCGGCAACATTTTCACTGTTTTTCAAAATATAGCATTATTCGGTACATTTCGATTTCGCAGTTTACATTTCGTTTCGCTTTGAAGTGCATTCATGTCTTTTTTTTTTTCGTTAACACGTTCTTACAATCAATTTCGTAAAGATATTTATTGGCCATGTATCGTGGTTCCGTACGTCACATTTATGGGTGGTACTGAAACACGACCAGTGGGGAATAGCAAATGCATTCATGGTGCAACAGAGTAAATCAAGTCACTGAGAGTCCTCAACTTCGATTGGTCAAAACGTGGAACAAAAGCAAAAAAAACAGTGTTACATTGCCCTATACTTTATCACGTGAATGTTTCTGGAACGTTGCTAGCCTGCATCATGTCATGTGTCAAGATAAATTACGTCAGATACATATTTTTGTGCATCCTTATTAATGCCAGTTTATCTTAAGTGACAAGGAAGTTCAATTTAATGTCTCTGTAGTTGTTACAGTCTGGGTAGTCCTCGCTATTAAAGTGGGGGGCCATCATAACAGTCTTCCAATCCTGTGGAACCCGTCCAGATGTCCAGAGTGTTGTAATGATGTCATATAGGGCAGTTTGCACACAAACGCCAACCTCCCTCAGCAGTTCGCTTGGGAGATCATCTCTGCCTGGTGAATTTCCTGGTCTCAAACTCTGGATCGCCTTCTGTACGTCCTCAACAGATGGCACCTCAGCCAGCCGTTCACAGGTTGTGACTACTTCTTCCAATATTTGAGGCATGGCAGTCCCAGAAGGGTCATCCCCACTTTTCCCAATTATGTTTTCTTAGCTGGGGGATTTCCCCTCTCCCAAGACCTCACAAAATAGTCAGAAAACCTGCAAATATGTTCCTAGGGTCGGAGATGTCATCACCATTTGTTTCCCATATTACAAACTATTGGTTTGTTCTGTTTTTGAGAGAAAACTAGCACCCCACGTGCCCCTTTAGGACATAACCCCTCCCTTTCCTCCAACCAGCCAGGAAGCTAGCCAACAAACGTTTAATAATATACAGTAGTATTATATGATGGTACGAATGATATGGGAGTGATGCATATATCAGAGGTGTGGACTCGAGTCATGTGACTTGGACTCGAGTCAGACTCGAGTCATGAATTTGATGACTTCAGACTCGACTTGGACTTGCATAACAATGACTTTGTCCCACCTCTGAGGTGTGGACTCGAGTCATGTGACTTGGACTCGAGTCAGACTCGAGTCATGAATTTGATGACTTCAGACTCGACTTGGACTTGCATAACAATGACTTTGTCCCACCTCTGGCATATATGCGTACACACTTGCACAGACACTTCTAACAGCAGGGTTCCGGCCGTATGATGTTCAGACAGCTGTGTATGCGTGTGTGGCGGTAGTGTAGCGCAGGGGTCCCCCTGTTAAGAACCGGGCCGCATAGCAGGAAGTGAGCGGTGGGCGAGCGAGCGAAGCTTCATCTGTATTTACAGCCGCTCCCCATCACTCGCATTACCGTCTGGGCTCCGCCTCCTGACAGATCAGCGGCAGCATTAGATTCGCATAGGAGCGCGAACCCTATTGTAAACTGCGCATGCGAGGGATCTAGGTTGCACGCTCCTTATGAGAAGTTAGAATCCGACATTTATACTGGTAGGAACGACCTGGTTCCACCAGCCCACAGGGGATTATTGTGTCCGTCCGTCGTGCAGGGAGGGGCTGGGTGGGGAGAAAGGGGCTGGGTGGGGAGGGGCTGGGTGGGGAGGGGCTAGGTGGGGAGCGGTTTTTACCCACTTTCACTTGCCTGGTGGTGTTACTCGATGACAATATTTTTGCTATCTTTTCTTGGATTTTCTGTTTGCACTTAGTCACAAATTCACTTTAAGATGTTTTTGTTCATGTTTTTGTTTTTTGTTTGTTGCGGTTGCACCCGATTCAAGAGCTGAATGGCTCACAGGGCTATACCTAATAAATGAACTTGAACTTGAACTTGACGATGAGAGGACTTCAAAGGGCCAAACGATTACTAAATGTAATTGACGGGAAAATGTTTTCTTTATAAATAGCAACCGGCACATCCTTTGTACATAACCATCTGTATGTCCCCCCACCCCCACCCTGCCAGCTAGCCAGCCAAGAAGGAAGCCAGCCATCCAGCTAGAAAAACTTTTGTTTTACAAATTGTGATAAGGAAATTAAAACTCTCTATTGCGGTGCCATCTCGCAGCCGGTCACTCACATGTGCTGTCGTACACGGTGGATGAGACGTTGCTTCCGCCAGTGCAGTTGACAGTTATGGCAATGCTGTAGTATCTGTTAGGCACCAGCCCCGTGAATGTGAAGTTGGAGGCACTCCCATTGATGGTGAAGGGGGAGTATGTGAATGTCGACTGATCGTACAATTGTAAGACGTAGCTGGTGGCGTCCACGCCGACCTCCGTCCACGTGACTGTGATCGTTGTTTCACTCCTGGCACTCACCTGCACTTCTTCAGTTATAATGAATGCACAAGTATCTTAATAAACAAAGCAATAACAATGACAAATAACAGTATTGTGTCAGTCCTCTGCTACTTAAAGCCCACCACCCCTGTGTCACAGGCATGTGAAAAATAAATCCATTGCTCAATGAATTCCTCCAGTATAAATAAAGTCTGATGATTTTGGATTGGTGAAAGGGTCGGAGATAGAGCTATCACTGTCAAACGGATATTCATGGCCGGATATGAAAAAAACCGCACTGTAACCCCGGGGCCGGCCCAAGACACGCTGGTGGGACTACGTCGATCTGCTGGCCTGGGAACGCCTGTGAATTCCCCAGGAAGAGCTAGAGTATGTGTATAGTAGTGTATAGTAATGCAGTGTATAGTAGTGCTGAAGTATGTCGCCAGGGAAAGGGAAGTCTGGGCCGCTACTACTCAAGACGCTACCGCCACGACCCTCACCACGACAAGCGGACTGAGAAACGAACGAACTGTAACCAATGTTTAACAAGTTCTGGCCAGCTGTCCTCAGCCAGCAGTGGACGTCAGGGATCGTAATTGATTTATCGTCACCTGAATAACATGTTGCGTCCGTAAACCCTACTCCAACCGACACAGCCAATTTAATGAAGTTGCCTCGTGATTACCGGTGCTTTGGAGAGCCAATGTCGCAATATTTCACTATTGGATATTGTTCGCTGATTCGCTGATAGTTACAGCCACCATCATTAGGCCGTTTCCACAATTCCTGAAACCGGCTGATTTTTCTGGTTACATCAGCGAACCGGCAAAGAACCCACTCGTTAAAATGCTTATGCAACATGCGACAAAAAAAATTAATGGGCCGCGTTGGGTGGTGGACGGCTTTTACGACACAAGTTTGGTCAGATAATTGCATGGCCCACTCCAAAAATACATGATAAATCGTATTGACTGCGGAAACCAGCGTGTTAGGTTAATACATTTCAACAATACGACGATCAGCATTGCATGAGTTGTCCACAAATATTTAATTAAATGTGCATCGTTTGTTTGATGCCATTGACATTTTCTTGGTTCTTTCGGAAAAGTCACGTAGATAGAAAATAAAAATTATAAAATAAAAAAATAAATAGAAAATAATAAAAGCAAAAAACCCACGATGTTTCGATCGCAACACAAGCGGTCTGCATCAGGCGGAGAGAAAAAAACGCTCGTGTTGCGATCGAAACGTCATGGGTTTTTTTCTTTTTATTATTTTCAATTTATTTTCATTTTTTATTTTATTTTACTATTATATTTTTTCTATCTACGTGACTTTATCAAAATAACCAAGAACATGAATTCCTGCAGTCACGAAAGTTTTAAGTCTAAATTTCTGATATTTAAAGTTCAACCTCAGTTTGACGTCAGCCATGAGGAGACTAACCTTTGATCTTTACAATCGATGACGCAGATGTTGTCAGTTACACAATTTATAATCAAGTTAATCAATTATCACAAAAAAACCGCGAACATTTTGCAAAGCACAAATAATACATATTCATTTTGACCTTAAATTTATTTGGTTTGTTGTTTTATATAACAAAAATGCTTTGCATACCAATCGCGATAGAACAATTTAACAAAACAGATTAAACACGTATCTTGGACCTTACCTTAAACGATATCTCATGGTTTTCCACACCACGACAACCTTAGGACAACTCCATTTTCACGAAGGCAATGCTTCCTCCATCATAAATACAAGGAGTTGAAAATGTTAAACTGCATCTCGCACCATTAAGGAATCGCTCGCGCTGTGTTCTTGTCTTCAGGTCTCCTTGTTTCCTCTTGTGCTCATGTTCTTGTCTAGTTGCGTCTGGATCTCTCAGGGTCTCAAGAGTCTCTTTATCTCTGTGTTTATCCCTGCGTGCCTCTGTCTCCATTTTTTGCCTCCGATTATTCCCATGTCTGCTGTTTTCATTCTTTGCCTGCCCTCTCTGTGTTCATCTCTCACACATTCTCTTGTTGTCCCTCTGCGTCTGTCTGTCTCGTTTTCCCTATGCCTGTCTCTCTAGGCCTGTCTCAAAGGCGGCTGTGTACGATGATAGCCTCATCACCGACCCCATCATGTGCCATTCCGGCCTTCATAGGCGCTGCTACTCGCTAACAGCACTTTCCCCAACAGTTTGTTAAGTTAATACGGGGAATCTTTGTTTCTGCGTCTGTGTGCCCATCTCCTTCCCTCTCTCATTGTCTCCATGTCAGTGGCGTATTAGCTACATCAGCTCAGGGGGTGCGGAAATCGATCAGGTGGGGCCCCAAATAGTGCGATTGTCTCTTCGCACGGTGGCACATAGAGGCTATTCGATATCGTAGCTCTTTTTGTCCTAACCACATCGTAATTACACTCACGTTGTCTCAAATATTTAACGCTGTAGGGGCGCTCAGTCTTTGCAAAATGCATTCACTGCAGCTCCGTAGTGCTTCTTTGAAATATAGTTGTCGCGTATCTAATGAAATAAATATCCCAGAAACGGAGCTCTATTGTGAAAGCATTTTCATGAAAATATATTGAAACCGCAATTGACACTGTTATCGAAAACAAATCTTATTGTGGTTGTCAAGAGGGCCCCAACTCATAGCTTTGGCTACCAGGGGGCCAAGGCGACCCCTGCCCCCACGCTAGGCGCCATGGTGGCTAGGATATATTAACTACCTCACCTGCTATTATGAGGTCGTGGGTTTCATCCCGACCATGACGCCTGTATATTTGGAGTTTGAATTCTCTTTTCTCGTGGGCGTGTGTATTTTTGAACCTGGTCCTCTGGTTTTTCCCTCCACATTTAGGATCAACATTAATGCATTTAGAGTATTTTGCTGCTGCTTTAATTTTACACGTTCAGCTATAATTTGTGATAGCCAGGTCACTTCTGAAAAAGAGCGATATAGCTCAATGGGCCTTACCTGGTAAATAACAAACAATTTTTCGCTTATAGTTACGCTACTGCTTCGTGCGTGTCCTATCTGTTTGGCTAGCATATTGTCTGTGTTTGTGTTCTATCTCTTTGGCTCGTCTGTGTGTATGTTATCTGTTTGGCTCGCATCTTTTATCTGTGTGTGTGTCCTATCTGTTTCGCTAGCATCTTGTCTGAGCGTGTCTCTGTATATCTCCATCTCTCGGATCCTCCTTCTCCGCGTTTGCCCAAAAATATATTTTGTGTCGCTGACCGTGAGCACATGAAATGGCGAGGCGATGTTTTACAGGGCAATCAATGGTTGCAGGGCTTACCTGATATCTGACAACCATTTGCAACTCTTGCAACCTAGGGCAACAACAACCGCACCATTAAAATGTAGCATACATCATTGTAACGTCAGCTTGTTAATAACGAATTTACTCACCGATACTGTCATATTCATAATAACGTTTTTTTGGGTTTAGATCACGTAAGTATAAATGTGTCGTTAACCCGCCACCACCCAACACAGCCAATTAGTAAGGTTTGCCACAAAAAGTTTGTCAAAAAATTTAATCGATGCTGTAATCACCAGCGAAATTTCACAGTACTCTAATTGCAAATGTTATGGATTTAGCCTCCAACACACCAGTGTGCTTAAGTAGTAACTAATAGGCACGTTTTGTGCAAGTGTCAAACTTTACTAATTGGCTATGTCGGGCGGTGGGAGGTTAATGACGCATTTATACTTACGGGATCTCACCCAAAAACATTGATTATTAACAATACTGTAATTTCCATCAGATGTATTGCCATTGTTTATCATCGGCACCATGTTACAACAATTAAGCATCTAATTATAACTTCGCAGACCAGTGCAACTCATCGTGTCAGAGCAGCCAATGGCAACGGATGCCACCGAGCTACTTCCGATCTCTTCAAGCGATCTCTATTTTACACAGCAGGGGGCAGCACTTTCACACCCCCCTGCCACAGAGCACCATTTGTGATGGGAGCAGAGTAGAATAAGTCAGGTATGGACCTATTATTTGGGTATTTCGGTAAAGTTACGTAGATAGGTTTCTTCCTGATGACGAACGCTTGTGTTGCAATCGAAACGTTGTAGTTTTTTTTGTTATTTTTAGTTTTTTTTTTGAACCTATCTCCGTGACTTTACTGAAAGACCCAAATAATTTGAATTCCTGCAGTCACGCAAGCTTTAAGTCAAGGTATGGACCTGTCTGAGGCTCAATAATTTGGTTTAATGTGATCTTTCCAGATCTGGCTGCGGACTTTAAGGTCAGATTCTTTTTTCCAATGTTACAATACATTTTTGTTTCTCAAGGAGTATGCTTTTGTACTCGGAGGGCTAAGGTAGTTCTAAAAGTGGTGAGAGTTCAGATTTATAACATGAACAGTGTGGTGGTATTGTAGCGCAGTCTATGAAGCACCTCTCGGTTAGCACGGTTGGCTATGTACGGTGTGAAATAAGTTCACCATACATACACATACGAAGCAAGATCGAGTGATAGAATGTGGGCACAGGGCATTGAAAGAGACGAATTCCTTTGGATATTAGCGCAATTGGTTACATATGGAGCAAAAGAAGTTCAACATATATACTTAACAGAGAATTTAATGGGGTGGTCGTCGTTAAAAGTGAAATAAATGGTGCTGAGAGCGATATGAATCTGTGTTACAAATCAGAATAAGAATATTTATGTGTACTGGACGAATCCGATGAAATCTAAGCTCTTTTTCACAGATGTCGGGCAATTAACCGAGAGGTGCTTCATAACCACGATATGAGTGTAAAGCATAGTAGAGGTAATCAAATAACTTTGATTTTTTTTTACAAATAAAAATGAACTTTTTCTTATTTTACCAGGTAAAGACCACTGGGCTATTAGCTTCTTTTTCAAAAGCGACCTGTCCAGAAATGATAGCTCAACGAAGTGGCTTATCATATGGACATTTACAGTAGCACAATAATCTAAATAATCTAAACGCATGTTTAAAGAAGTGGAAAAAAAAACCGTAGGACCCAGAGAAAAAAATCCACATGACCATGGGAAAAAACTTCAAACTCCAAATATGCATGCATCAGGGTGGGAATTGAACCGACAGGAGAGGAAAATAACATCACACCACCCAAACGACCGTGGCACTGTAATAGAGCGATAAAGTCGAACACCCGACGAAATTACCGATCCGAGATTTGCCCACAGATGAAATCAAGTGGGCGTGGTGTTAGTCGAAGGGGCGTTTCAATGGCCAAATATTGTTGTGGCTCGTGAATCCAGGCTAATTGTAATCGATTCTGCTGAGTCGATCGAGCACCCAGCCCAAAGTTGCTTGGGCAGCCATCCTGAAATTATACGATTTTATCTTAAACTACCAGGAAGTACCCGGCTTTGTGCGGGGGGGGGTAATCTTTTTCAAAACGTGCCTTTTCTTAAAAACATAATACATACGTACTCAAATACTAAGCTATTGTGAAAAAACGGCATTCCATTAGTCTGTCCATTTGTCCGTCAGCAAATTTATAATAGGCTTGCAGAAGTGCTGAATTAAAAAGTAATATAAAGTGGGGGGTAAATAGTTGATCTAAAAGGTTTCAAAAAATTGTAGACACACCCCCCCACCCGCTAAAAAAATATTTTACCCCCCTGTATATACAATGGAGTCAGTAGTATCTAGTGACTCTATATTATTATCTATTGACTATATCAGTATCTACTGACTCTATTGCAGTATCTGCTGACTCTGTAGTTGTATTTACTGACTTTACAGTAGTATCTATTGAGTAAAGTTGTATATACTGACTATAGCAGGATCTACTGACTGTATAGTATCTAGTAACGGTAGTATTATCCACTGATTCTACAGTAGTATCTACCGACTCTATAGTCGTATATACTGAATGTATAGTAGTATCCACTGACTATAGTAGTAACTGCTAACTCTATAGTAGTATCTGCTGACACTATATTAGTATTCACCAACTCTCGAGTAGCATATACCGACTCTATAGGAGCATCTACCGACTCTATAGTAGTATCTACCGACTCTATAGTAGTACCTACTGACTCTACAGTAGTATCTAATGACTATATTAGTACTCTAGAGTAGTCTCTACTGATTATAGTAGTAACTACTAATTATATAGTAGTATCTGCTGACTCTATAGCAGTAGCTACTGACTCTATAGTCGCATATACTGACTGTCGTAGTATCTACTGACTATACAGTTGTATCTACTGAGTCTACAGTAGTATCTATTTACTGAAGTAGTATATACCGACTCTACAGTAGTATCTATTGACTCTATAGTAGGATCAACTGAGTCTACAGTAGTCTCTACTGACTGTAGTAGTATCTACCGACTTTACAGAAGTATATATTGACTCTATAGTAGTATCTACCGACTCTGCAGTAGTAACTACTGACTCTATAGTCAAATCTATCGACTCCACAATAGTATGTACCGACTCTATCGTCTATAATAGTATCTAGTGACTCTACAATAGTATGTACTAACTGTAGTAGTTTATACCGAGCCTATAATAGTATCTACCGACTCTATTGAAATATCTACTAACTCTACAGTAATATTATTTGGTTCTTTCGGTTAAGTCACGTCTAAAGATAAAATAATAAATTAAATTAAATAATAGAATACGACGTTTCGATTGCAACACAAGCAATCATCATCAGGTATAATGAAATAGCGACATAAAATCTAACCAGAAAACTATAGACAGACATATTAGCAGACAGATATCACCAAGATACATAGAGAGAGCAACACAGGTAACAGAGAGAGGTGGTCGTCTCTGTGGGGTGGCCTTAAATAGACAGAGGGGGGCGGAGGCAGAGAGAGGGAGGGGGTTAGAGAAAAAAATAGCATATCAATGAGTGGACAACAAAACGTGGTGCTGCAAGTGCGATGACACGGCAAGCAAGCCTGAAAATCAGGAGAAGGACACACTAAAATTAAATAACCTAGTAAAATATCGAAATGTAATGTAATACAACACAGAGGGTCGGTCAACACACAATTAACGCATAGCCTGGTTGATTACGTATTTCAAAGATTGCTAAGTTAGAATTTAAGTGTGAACATTCCAAAGAGAGGACACAGGCAGAGAGAACAAGTAGTCAGAGAGAGAGAAAAAAGAAGATAAGTTTAAAACTTCCCCGTAGAAGTGGTTCAATCTTAATTTTTAGAACTTTCGTGACTGTGGGGTGGCCTTAAATAGACAGAGGGGGGGCGGAGGCAGAGACGACCACCTCTCTCTGTTACCTGTGTTGCTCTCTCTATGTATCTTGGTGATATCTGTCTGCTAATATGTCTGTCTATAGTTTTCTGGTTAGATTTTATGTCGCTATTTCATTATACCTGATGATGATTGCTTGTGTTGCAATCGAAACGTCGTATTCTATTATTTAATTTAATTTATTATTTTATCTTTAGACGTGACTTAACCGAAAGAACCAAATAATAATTCCTGCAGTCACGAAAGTTCTAAAAATTAAGATTTCTACAGTAATATCTACAGCCTCTATAGCAGTATCTACAAACTCAACAGTAGTATCTACTGATTCTATAGTAGTATCTACGAGCTCTACAGTAGTATCTACTGACTATATTAGTATCTACTAACTCTACAGTAGTATATACTGATTCTATAGTAGTATCTACCGACTCTACAGGAGTAACTGCAAACATTGGGGTTGGGGGGGGGAAGAGGACATCACACTGTTCAGAATTTACCTCAGTTTTGGGCTCCTGTGTCTTTACACTCTTTTATTATGTTTATTTACACGCTTTTGTTTATTTACACGCTTTTATTTAACTCTGTCTGTTGCATCCTCAAATCTTGTAAGTACATTTTACCCACTTCCCAATGTGGTATCGACTGCAAACTTGGTATACTTATGTCATACTGATAACAATACTATATTCTACCATAAAAAATGAAATAAAACATGTATTTTAAAACATTCTTTTAGACGCTTTTTATAAACTCACTCTTTTGTTGTCATATCCTCAAATCTTGTAACTCAATTTTAACCCACTTCCCAATGTCGTATCGACTGCAAACTTGGTATACGTATGTTTCGGCTTCATATGTTGTGTTTCGGCTTGGGTCCACCGTATTTTCCCGCATATAACCCGCGGGGTATACCACTTTTTACAACAAAACAAGGCCCTGCGGAGTATATGGAGGTGCGGGCTATCCCAAAAATATTTTACACGTGTGACATGTCATAACTCGTTAATTTTTTTCATGGTAGGACTATCCACTAAGCAACACTTACCTTTGACTTAAGCACTGCTGAATAAACCACTCGCACTAATA